AGGGCAGGGCATTGACCCGCTAGTGACAGGTTACCTGGACCCCTGGAGGTGGAAAAGTCATTTATTGCTGGGGGCGGTCCGTTCTCTATGAAAAGCTGCAGGCAGGTGAGCGCTCCCCTGGGTCACAGGTTGCAAGTGTTCAAGGCTGGGACTGCGGCATCAAGCCCCCTCGTCTCCACTGGTTCTATAAGCAAAGCTGGGCCGCAGGGCGGGGGAGCTCTGGGAGGCCTCCTGCGGGCAGCTGACCTTGTTCTGTCCTTCCCACCTGCAGACCTGTGGGGACTGGAATGGCGTCCTCCCTGCTCCCCAGGCCCTCCAGGCTGAGGGCTCCAGGGAGAAAAGGGCTCTGAGGCCTCCGTGGGTTCTGATCCCTGGTGGCAGCCTCTCCTCTCCGGGTTTAAGGGCACACACTCCCATGCCCTGGAGGGATGGAGCCTCTTGATCAGGTGTGGCCTGAAATCTTCCTGAGCAGCTACCTACTCCACTCCCTGGCTTTGGCACTGGCGTGAGAACAATAACACTCCATGTTGACGTGCTTCCCTAAGGCTAATGGAGAGGTCTGAATCCCCTATGAAAGGCCATGGGAAGATGAAGTGCCCTGTTCTGTGTGCTTCCCTCCCTGGGCTCTGCCTGGGAACTTCATCTCTCCCTGATGTTAATCCCGGGCACTGATCCCCTCCACTGAGGTTCAGTGCTGGGTCCCTTCATCCCTGAACTTGGGGCATGTGCCGCAGCTCGGGAGCGTGAATGTGGAAGTGTTTAGGAGAGCTGAAGCCCAGTCTGGAGCAGCCTTCCTTCCTAGCTTAGCCGCTCAACCCAGCAGTTGAGAGCGTTTTGTTTTCCAACACCCAGGCCTCAGGTGGTTCTCACATTGAATGAGAGGGAGGGGGGAAACTTGGGAATTTTGATCTGCAGTTATAATGTGATCTTTTTAACTGATAAGTACATACTTCTCCTCTACCAACCACAGTCGACCTTTGCTGCCTTCCTGGAGGAAGGCCGCCAACATGCTGGCTCCCTGCTGGCTTCTGTTCTGAGCCTTCCAGGGCTTGACCTTTGGTGGTCTCTGACGTCCTTCTACAGCTGTTTTCTGTTGTAGTTGGGCAATGGTGAAGTGGTCCTGGTTGTCTGGGTGAGCTGGCCTCTGTGGGCCTCCACTATCGTGATTTCTAAGCAGGGGTACCCCTCATTGCTCACTGAGAGGGCAGCTGTCTCTCCCGTCCCCCCACCCCCATGAGGTGTCGTCTTGCCCTGATCCTCTGCACCTGTGTGGGTGCCAGCCTCACTGAGGCCTGTGCTGATGGCAGGGTGCGTGCTTGAGCCATCCCACCTGCTGCTGATGGGCTCCAGGCTGCCTCCAGTTCTGCTGTTTGAGCAAGGCTGTGTCTGATGATGCCAGGGTTTAAGGAGGGTGGTATCCCTCAGCAGATGTCGCTTGTTTGCTCTTGCACCATTGGTTGGCCCTCTTCCCTCATCCATAGGGAAGTGAGTTCAGTCAGGCATGCAGGACAGGTCAGCTGGGCACATTAAGCACAGCACATCACAGTGGTTCTTGGTTAACACATTGTCACTGGTGGTCTCATGTGGGTCAAAAGCCATAGACCAGCTGCACACCCTGGAGCACACCAGTCATCCCAAAGGCTCCAGAGGCTGAGGCAGGAGGATCACAAGTTCAAAGCCAGCCTCAGCAGCTTAGTGAGACTCCAAGCAACACAGCAAGACCCTGTCTCTAAATAAGATATTAAAAAGGGCTTTGGATGTGGCTCAGAGGTTAAGGCCCCTGGGTTCAATCCCCAGTACCCCCCCCAAAAAAAACAAAAACAAAAGGCCAGACTAGGTATTTGGACCTGCTCAAATTCTTTGCTCATTTCAATGCTTTGAGTTGTTGATCCTCTCCATGGATCAGAAGAGAGATTTATATAAACTACTCTTCATATATTTCAAATGTATTTTCACCAGTTTGCTTTTTCAGGAAAGATGTAAATATTGATATGCTACTTATGTTTTTATGGATTAGGAAGGGGACCGAGTCGAATGAATTTCTATCTGGCTTTTCTACTATTGGATTGAAATGTTCTGTTCCATCTACAGATTATTTGGGGATTAAATATAAAGTAGAAATTCATGAACACAAATATTTCATAACTTGAGCATATCTTCTTCTTTGAATGCTGGGAATTGGGGAATTGACCCCAGGGGTGCTCTACCAATGAGCCACAGTCCTTTTTTTTTTTTTTTTTAAAAAAAAAAAAAAAAAAAAAAAAAACCTAGGTTGCACTAAGTTGCCCCAGGCTGGCCTTGAACTTGTGACCCTCCTGCCTCAGCATCCCAAGTCCCTGGGATTACCCATTAATCTATTACTAACTGAATTCAATGACTTCATGATTTCTAGAAGTTTTTCCAAGGACTTTCCAGGGTGAACATACCCACCTATGAATGTCAGTTTTTACCTTTGTCGCTTACACCCCACATTTCTCCATCTGCTTTGATACCAAAGGTAATGTAAACCATGGAATTATAAAACAGTGGGACCCAGAGGATGTGCAGGTGGAGAGGACAAAACTGGTCAGCAATGTCCGTGGCTACCATCCCATCTGATTCCCTCTGGGTCAACAGATGGGCTTGTGGGGCAAGTGTTATTCACCACTAGGTCTGTCTGTCTGCCTGCCTGCAGCTTTTACACTAGAAAACCTTACTGGATGCATTGAAGGCTCTTCCTGTGGGCACTGCCAGTGTGTCCACTGAGACCCCGCAATCTGACCTTACTGCTCTGTGAGTGTCACCACAACTGACTCGGTACTCAGTTGAATTCTCAGGTTCCTGAATATTCCTGTGTTAAGTGCTCTGAGACCCAGGTGCACACTGTGCTCTGCCTGGGAGGTCGGTCAGGGGCGTCCCAGGGGATCCACCTGCTGATGGCCATGTGCACTTGCTAGGCCTACATAGGCCTGGGGAAGTGGGTGCTCGAGTCCCACAGGGCAGGGGCAGGGACAGTGGCTGCTTGCCTGGGGATGCCTGGGACAGCTGCAGAGCAGGGCTTGAGCATGGAGTCTGTCCTGGGCGCCCAGCCTCGCACTACAGGCTTGGGCCTCCTGGGTCTGAGTCTCCTGTGGGTTACCAAGCTGGCTGATGCCAATCCACTGTCACAGAGTGCCCTCAGGATCATGAGGGAACAAGGGAGGCACCAGCCTCTGCAGGCAGCACTGCCCGGTGACCCTCATCTGGGAAAGAGCCTTGTCCTGCTGGTACACCACACCCCAGGAGGGTCTCATTGCTGACCTGTCCCTGAACCCCAGGGAAGCCCCCAGGAGCAGCGTTGGAAAGGAGCCTTTGAGGAGGTCTTTCTTCATGGGTCTCCAGGCCTTGTGCCGGTTTCTTCCATGTGTTTCATGATCTTTGTTTTCTTCACCTTCTGAGTCCATTTTCTGCTGTTATAACAACCAAATAACCTACAAGGGACAGTTACTTGGCTCACATTGCAGAGGCTGTGAAGCACAGAACCTCCCATGGTGGAGGTGGAGGTGGAGGGGCAAGGGAGGCTGAGATGCTAGCTACCCCTCCTTGAGGCCACATCGGGCCACTCAGGAGGGAGGGCAGGGCCCTCATGGCTGCCCTTTCCCAGCACAGCTACATGGGGTCTGTTTCCAGTGAGCTCTGAGGGACACACCAGTACCACAGCATCCTCCAGCCCTCCTGTGAAGGTGACCTTGGCAAACCCCTCCTGAGCCTCCCTAGTTGGAGGATGGCAGGCAGGACTGAGGGCACTAACCCCCAGGAGGGAGCTGGTCTCCTAGATCAGGGAGCCACAGCAGACGGCCAGTCTGTGGAAGCAAGTGGAGACAGCGTGGCTGCAGGCTGGTGGCACCTCCCGGGCTGGCATGTTCTCGCCAGGACCCTAGCATATCAGCAAGTCGAGGCAGAGAGAGCTGTGTAGGCACAGGTGGCAAGCAAGGATGACATCCCCCACCCCTCGCGGAGGCCCTCAGAAAAGGCCCACCTGCTGCAGTCTAGGGGTACTGTGTTGCTTCCCATGGATTAAGCAACTTTCTAAAGCTACTTTCTACCACCAGGTAGAAAACCAGACGAGCCCTAAACCACCACCCCATCCTGCTCTCCCTTTTCAGAGGTTGCAACATAGCAAGAGGAGGGGTCGGCAGCATTGAGAATGGCTCCCAGGCGCCACTAACACTGCAAAGCGTCTGTCGGGACCAGCCCTTCAGGGCTGGCAAGGCAGCATGCGGCAGAGATCCTGCCACAAGTCCAGGGGACCCTGGGGAGTCTAGCCTGAGGACCTCTGCTCAGCCCTCTGTACCTCCTCCTGGGGAAGTGCCTTCCCAGGTCCTTGGCTCACTTCAGATTGCCTCTTTGAACTTTTATATTACCCAGGTATAAGTCCATTATCTGTAAGATTTTTCAGATAGTTCAGTAATTCTTCTACCAGGACTATTTCCCGCATTTGTGAGACTCCTGCTAAGCACACAATCGCCCTCGGCTGATTGGACACCACCGTGGGGCAGGCTGGTGGCAACTGCTGGGAACCCAACTGCTCTTCCTGGAGCCAGGAGCCTCAGATGGGCATGTTGAGCTTTATCTGTGCCAGGTGCACTTTTGAGGGACTGAGGAGTTGGCAACACACTATCCCAGAACTCCTGATGACAGGATGGACAGTGGCCATTGACGCTTCCTTCCCGCCCCCTGCCCCCAGACAGGGTCTCCCTGGGTTGCTTACAGTCTTGCTAAGTTGCTGAGGCTGGCTTTGACTCTGCAGTCCTCCTGCCTCAGCCTCTCAAGCCCCTGGGATGACAGGCATGTGCCAACATTCCCAGCTGCAGTCCTGGCTCTTTGAAGAGTTGTCATCTGTGTGTTGTGTGTCTCCAATATTTCCCAAGAGGGATGGAGACCCTTGCCCACCCCCAAGGCACCTGAGTCAGTGCTGTGGGCTGAGCCTGGACCTCTCCCCCCAGGTCCCACTTGCTCTGCATAACAGGAAAGTCCACCTTCCCCGAAGGCCATGGCTCAGGCCTCCGCAGCAATGGAAACGGACCAGTTGTACACCTTGACCAACTACGGGCTGCAGTGGTGCCTCAAGGAGTTGGATAAGGAAGAGTTCCACACCTTCAAGAAACTGCTGAAGGAGAAGTACTCGGAGGTGACCAAGAACCCCATCCCTTGGGCAGAGGTGGATGCCGCCGGCCCTGAGGGTCTGGCCGCCCTCCTGCTTGAGTACCATGTGGGGCACCTAGCCTGGACTGTCTGCATTAACATCTTTCGAGAGATGAGCCTCTTCACGCTCACAGAGAAAGCGCGGGAGGAGGAGAGGAAAGGTAAGACGGGGGCAGGTTCAGGATGGGGACGGGGCCATCGTCATCCAGGTCCACTCTGCCATGGGAATCTGAATGGTGAGAAGCCACTGTGTCCTCAGCGGCTGGAACTTGGCACAGGGAGAAGCAGTGGACAGCGTCTCCACCCAGGCAGAAGTTGGCTGGGTTTAAGAGGATTCGAGTGGTGTTAGGTTATACTTCTGGTGCAAGCTTGCGTGGGTCTCTGCTATTCTACCCTTGGATTCCACGTCTGGGAATTGCAGCTCCTAGCAATAGAATGTGTGTGTGTTTTGCAAAGGCTCCAGGTGACGACACACATCAATGTCTAATGTCCATGTCTGCCCCAGCCCCAGGCAGAAGGACGGAGCTAATGGTGCTGACTGAGGGGTTGGCCTCCCCTAGATGGTTGCACTGAAGTCTCAGCAGGAGACTCGGATCAGACGTGTGACTCTACCTTAGCAGTGGACTTCCATCAGAAGTTATTTGGGGGTCTTTAGGAGAAAGATCATTTTAAAACGTAGTTCTCCTTTATCAGAAGAAAGTCTCTTCAACTGTAGACTGAGAATGTATTGTAAAAAGTTCCAGGACTGGGCAGCCGAAGCAGCCTTGCTGACTGTGGGAATCTTGGGTCTGCTCGTCATCCGTCACTCACCCACACACGGCTCGGCCTGTCGCCTCTGAGCTGTGGAGAAGCCTGTGTGGGAGACACATTGGGCTCCTTGCAGGAAGCTAGGGTAGCTGATTCTACTGAGTCACTGCAGTAGGTCACAGTCACATGGAAATGTCCGTGGACCCTGAGGCTGGTCCTCGAGCCCTCCCCACGAAATGGGCTCCCCCAGCAGAAGCTGAAGCAGAGCTGCTTTCAAGTCCTGCAACCTGGCTGCTCTGGGGAGCCCACCAGTGACTTTGGGTAACACTTGTTTAGCATATATTTAAATTGTCCTCTGTCCACCACCAAGGACTTAGCTTTCAGCATGGCAGAGACACATGGGCCTTAATCTTAAAAAAAATGGATGGTATGGCAAAATTGAGGTTTCTACAGCAGACGAGAGGGACGTGAAGTCTAGGATCACTTCTAGAAGAAGAAAGCTTTGGAGGAAGAGGAATAGGGCATGGTACAGAAGGTTCTGAGCAAGAGGCAGCAGTGGTAGGAAGCCTTGGTGAAGAGAGGGCTCCGGGCTGGATGTGGAGAAGGGGCTGGTGAGGTCACAGCGTCTCCAAAATGCTGGCAAGCCTGAGCAGTTCCTGAGCAGTGTCCCACGGGTGGGGCTGGGACAGCAGGCATTTCAGTACTGCTGCTGCTGAAGGGCTGAGACCCAAAGGAGCTGTGGGAAGGCCAAGGCTGTTCTAAGGAAGCCAGGAGAGACGTGGAGGCCGCCTGGACAAGGTGGTAGATAAGGATGCAGAAGCACAACTGGGAGATGATCTGAAGCAGGCAGAATCATATAAGGACTTGAGAGAAGATGGTGTCAGGATGGTACCTGGGTTTCTGGAGGGAGACACCAGGTGGGTGGAGCTGTGTGGCCTCATCCCAGGAAGCACTGGGGTAAGGCAAGGGTCTGTTTGCCTTGGACCCACCTTGGACCACACAGCTTGAGGATGTCCTATTTGTGTAACTCAAGGCCTCAGGCGGGTGGTCGACTGGGTCGGAAGTGAGAGGGTTGGAGGATGGCTCCTGAACGTGAGCATTTAGTGACCACAGTGTACCACCCCAGCATACCACCTACCAGGGCCACGCGGCAGGCAGGTGAACCACAGAGCATCCTTTCCTGTTAGTTGCCACCTCACTGTGCTCCAGGCATAGGAGGACTGACCCCATGTGCCCACCACGGGCTCCACGTGGGATAAACTGATCTCCTGGGCTCCTCTAGGTCCTTCAGTAACGTGGGCAGGCCTGAGCTTGCCCCTGGCTTGGGTGGTTGCTACAGCTTACACCATTTTCTCTTCTCTGTTCTAGTATGTTCAATGTCTGAGATCTCAAAGTCTGAGCTACCAAAGACTACCCAAGGACCCAGTGAAGAAGAAGCACCAGGTTTGTGGGGGAGGTGGGGGTGGGAGGTGGAAGGATGGATGCACTTGTTCCATATGATAAATGTCAGTCAGTCCACAGATCATGTTGAGAATCTTTTCACGTGCTCGTTGGCTATCTCCATATTCAGAGAAATGTACATTCAAAGCCTTCATCCATTTTACTGTCATTGGGCTATAATATCTCTGTTTTTTGGATACGAGGTCCTAAACAGATACATGATCGGCAAATATTTTCTCATTGTTTGGATTTTCTTTTCACTCTCTTAATAGTGTCCTTCAAAACAAAAGGTTTAAATTTTTATGAAGGCAAATTTTCTTGAGCTTTTAGTGTCCAATCTAAAAATCTATGCCCTAGCCCAAGATCATGGTTTATGTCAGTATTTTCTTAAGAGTTTTATAGTCATAGCTCTTAAGAGAGGAATTAGTTCAAGCAGGGGATGTAGCTCAGCACTAGAACACTAGCTTGACGTGAGCAAGTCTTATTTTGAGTTGTATGAGGTGTAGGGATCTATCTTCATCCCTTGGCTGGGGAATTTCCAATTCCAGTAACAATTGTTGAAGTCTGTTCTTAAAAACTCAACTGTCAAGTGCTCTTTCTAATGAGTTGAACAGAGGCAGGGGTTTGCTTTTGGACGGTCCTATTCAATGGATCTGTATCTCTTTTTTGTGGTAATACCACATAGACCCAGCCACTGTTGATTCTTGGTAAGCTTTGACATCAGGAGGTGTGATTCTCCAATTTGTCCTCAAGATTTCTGAGCCATTCGGTGCCCCTTGGATCTCCATATGAATTTTAGGACCAGCTTGACAATTTGGTAAAAGAAGCCATCTTCTGGGATTTTGACATGCATGGCATGAAATTACATAGATCAATACTGGGAGTATTATCTACGAACGAGGCGTCTTCAACCATGAGCACAGGGTGGTCTTACCATTGCTTTGAGGCCTCTTTCAATTGTTTTGTGGCTTTCGGTAAACAGGCCTTACACTTCTCTTGCAGAAACTTCGCAAACTATGCAGCAAGACGGTGGGACAGCTGCAGAGACACGCAGACCAGGTGAGGGAAGCCCTAGTTCCTTTGGCAGCTGGAGGCAGCTGGGTGGAGGAGGGGTCTGTGGAGCCCACCTGGGTAGTTCACTGGGCTAATTCATCAGATTTTACACTTCCTCTCTCAAGCCCCACGCCATGATACTCACTCCCCATGGCCTCTGCCACCAGGCCCTGGGCTATGGCCAGGAACACACCCACCCACCCCACCCCCATGTCCACACTTTATGTAAATGAAGAGTGTGGACTTGGTGATGGGCTTCCTTGACCTTGAGCCATCAGGGTTCATCCAGGTTGTCAGGGGTCAGCCTCTGGTTGGCTTTGGTGCCTGACAGCTGGGCCTTCCACATTGTCTCCATCTGTTCCCCGCAGGCTGGTGGGAACCTGGGTTGTGCCCATTTGGGGCTGTGGTAAAAGATGCTGTGAACACCTGTGCTCAGAGGCAGTGATGGCGATTGGTGACCTGGCTCATGACATTCGGATGGCAGAACCTGATGTCTAGCCGCCTCAGAAAACAGGAATGATAGCCGCCCACACCTGCTGTTAGGAGAGGCCATTGGGTGGTAATGAGGGAGTCATGACTACAGTCCCAGACTCTGAAATCATGTCAAGCTGGGCTCTTATTCCATGGGTACAGCATAACGCACCGACTGTGTGTTACTAACCTTCCATTCCACCAATATAAGAAAAAGTACTGGTTGCCGGAATTGTTGACTTCAAATGCACCCTTGACGACTTGCCTAGGACACTCACCCAGGGCCAGGTGGTGATCTCCAGGTTTGATCATCAACGTCGCCCTTGTCCCAACTTCACAGGGAGGTACTGGTGTCCCCTCTGTGTCCCTGAGCAGTCTGTCATGGAGGATGGAAGAGGCCAGAAATACATTCATGTCCAGAACAAGGAGATCCATATCCATTTCCAGTTAGCTTGCAGTATACGCCTTATTCAGATTATGACTTACAGGAAACTAAGAGAAGGAATGAGTTGGGGGCTGGAGGTAAACGATGATGTGGGTTTTCCTGCTTTGAGGTCCCTGGGTTTCCTGAGGCTGATGAATTGGATTCAGGGGCCTGGGCTCTAGGGAGGTCTTAGAAGTTTTGCACTCTTGACAATTAGACCCATGGAAGAAAAGAGGTGGCTGAGGAGGAAGCAAAGAAGGCTGGGTCTACTGTAGTGTCTTCCTGCCTCTGGAACCCCTAACTCCACTGGCACAGCCAGTCCTGTGAGGAGGGCCTGGGTCCAGGCTCCTCAAGCACAGGCTCCAAGCTCCAGGTCTCCTTCCGACAGCTGCAATGTGGATCTGTTAGCGGCTTTCCCTCGTATTGCCGTGAAGTAGAAGTTTTAAGAGTTCTGAATAGGTTTTTGTATTTTAGTAATCACATAACGTTGGTACAGAGAATCTTGCTATGAGATTTTTTTTGTTTTTGTTTTTGTTTTTGTTTTTGTTTTTGGCAGCATAATGGTAGGACCAGGAAATTGAAGGTCCCAAGATACGGATATTTGGTATTTATCAGCTACCTGCTGGGTACTTGAACAGACAGCTGAAGGCATTGGACAGGCCCAGGTGAAGGGCAAAGCACTATTCTTGTAGAGTGTGCAAAATGCAAGGAAGAATGAGTTTGAGCTTGGAGATGAAAGTCAGCAGGGTAACGACTGTATGGTTCACGGGCACCACCTGGCACGCTCGGCCGGCCTGAGCTAGTGAAGGTTGAGTACTCCTTCTTAAATCTCTCACCAAACCACAGGAGGACTTCGGAGGTAGGGAACTGGAGCCCAGAGTATGCGATCCATGTCTCAGATCACATGGACACTGCAGTGGAGCTGGGACTCCACTCAGGCACCAACTCCAAGGGACATGCCCCCTTTTCTGTAGACCCCCTAGGGGTCTCCACAGTAGCTGAGGCTGCACTTATCTTGCACATGTAGATGTTAATGCCATGGTGCAAGACCCTCGGCTCCCCCAGGCTCCTGTCTTTCAGAGTCTACAGAAATTACTCAACGGGCCCCAGGCACTGTTAGAAATGCTGAAGACCCCCATGAGTAGGAAAGTCCACAAGCAGAATGGATGGGTAGAGAAAGTAAGCAAACGTAGCACAGCATATCTTGAGGTCTGAGAGATGTCGGGACGAGCAGAGTTTTTGGAGCTTCTGAGGGAGCCACAGTTTCAGGGGAGAAGGGGCAGAGCCCATCAACAGCATATTGCGAGGAAGGAGCAAAAGACCCAGCACTTGAGCCATCTGCACCAGGATCCACTGATTCTGGCCCAGGAACGTTTTGTGCATGTTATTGTGCTCATACGTGTGGAGGTACAATGTGTTTGGATCCGTGTATGCATGGGGGGGTAACTAGTGTAGCCATCATTATAAACTCTCATTTCTTTATGGTAAGTACATTCAGATTCTTTGAGATAGAAAATAACCCTATTGCCAATTACATTCTCCCTGCTGGTGTTTCACTTGTACTAAAAACCACTTGGTTCCAATTTTGTCTTTCTCCCACTCTCTCCTGTCTGCCTCATGCCCAGGTGCCTCGCAGGACTACAAGGACCGTGTGATAACCAGATTCACCGCAGAGTTAAACAGACACCCCCGCTTGCAGAGTACTGCCGGCTGGACAGAAATACAAACACTGGTTGACGCTTTTCACGCAGACCAGCAGGGCTTCCGAGCACGCACCGTCGTCCTGCATGGCAAGTCAGGCACAGGGAAGTCAGTTTTGGCTCGAAGGCTCATGCTGAGCTGGGCGCAGGGCACATTCCACCAGGACACCTTCTCCTACGCCTTCTTTCTCCAGGCCAGGGAGATCCGATGGATGGAGGAGAGCAGTTTTGCAAAGTTGATCACCAGAGAGTGGCCAGGCTCCCAGGCTCCAGTGGCAGAGATTATGTCCCAGCCTGAGAAGCTCTTGTTTGTGGTGGACAACTTTGATGACCTGGACACCAGGCTCGGGGAGGATGATGAGCAGCTCTGTGTAGACTGGGCCGAAGAGCAGCCGGCCTCAGTCCTGATGCGCAGTCTGCTGAGGAAGGTGCTGCTGCCGGAGTCCTCCCTGCTGGTCACTGTCACAGACGTGGGCGTGGAGAAGCTCAAGTCACTGGTCCAGTGCCCCCTTTACCTGATGGTGGGGGGCATGTCGGTGGAGAGGAGAACTCGGCTGCTCCTTGAGCACATCACAGATGACCCTTCCCGGACACAGCTCTTGCGCTCAGTAGTGGACAGTCACCGGCTCCTGGACCAATGCCAGGTCTCCACAGTGTGCCTGATGCTCAGCATGGCCCTGCGGCTGAGGAGCAGCTCGGCCCCCGTCTGCCGGACCCTCACAGGCCTGTATGCCGCCTTCCTGTTCCACCAGCTCAGGCCCCGAGATGTACCACTGCGCTGCCTCAACCAGGGGGAGAGGGTGACCCTGAAGAGCTTGTGCCGGATGGCAGCCGAGGGCGTGTGGACCACGCGCTCCGTGTTCTACAAGGACAACCTGCGGGTGCACGGGCTGAGGGTGGACGCGCTGTCCGCCCTGTTCCACATGGACGTCCTCCTCCAGGAGGACCGCGGGGAGAGCACTTATACCTTCCTGCACCCCAGCCTGCAGGACTTCTGTGCCGCCCTGTACTACCTCCTGGAAGGGCGGGAGAGGGAGCAGGACCGCTGCCTCCTGTTAATCGAGAACATGCCGGAGCTGAAGGAGCTTCAGCAGATGGCCTTGGGCTCTCACCTGCTCGGCATGAAGCGGTTCTTATTCGGGCTCATGAACAAGGACATACTAAAGGCGCTAGAGGACCTGCTGGGCTGCCAGGTGTTCCTGGGGGTGAAGCAGAGACTCCTGCGCTGGGTGTCTCTGCTGGCCCCGCGGGCCACCACGGCCACCCCCCGGGATGTGCTGGACTCCTTCCACTGCCTCTTCGAGACTCAAGATGAAGAGTTTGTCCTTTCTGCGTTGAGCAGCTTTCAGGAAATGCGGCTTCCCATCAACCAGAGGGAGGACCTCGTGGCCTCCTCCTTCTGCCTCCAGCGCTGCCAGCAATTGCAGAAGATTCGGGTGGACGTCAGAGACATCTTCGTGAGGAGCGAGCTTGCTGGAATGTGCCCTGTGGCTCCCCCCAGGTGAGCGCCTCCCGCAAGTCAGTTCTGGGGTTTGACATGGTTCCAGATCCTTGTAGGACAAATCATCTAGATCCCCAAGCTAAGTGACAGGACCCAAATCTGGCTCACTGTGGATAAGCTCTTGAAAAACACTGGGCCCACTGAAGACTGTTGAAGGAGAGGATCTGGGCCTGGAACCCCGGGGGCATGTGGAATTTTTTTCAAAGCTCTCTATCAATTTGATCCTTTTGACTCACACACTGCCCTCTAGTGTAGGGTCCAGAGCTGTGCTAATAGAATTTTCTGCAGTGATGGAAGTGTTCCACAATACTTTATCCAATATGGCGCCCACTAGCCACATGTGCCTATTGCACTCTTAAAATGCCTTGAGACTTCTCGAGGAGGTAAATGGACCCTTAATCTTATTCCATTACAACTTATATTTACATGGTCACACGTGGATGGAGAGTTTACTGTGTGTACTCAATGGTGAGGCGCCCGTCTATCCAATTGCCCATCCTCCCAGGACCCGCATAGAAACACAGTCAAGAAGGTGGCTCTTGTTAAACCATGACACAAAGAAAAGACCACCAACTCCAATTTTAAATCGAATCAAAGCAAGCTTGTAATTCTGACTAGCTGGGACTCTCTCTCCCAAAATCCGTGGGATAGAAGACAGTACTCCAACTCTCTAGGAACGCAGTTTTATAGCACAAAAAGTTGCAAAAGGGGTGTGTCTTAAGAATTTACAGATAACAGAATTTCGACAAGCAAATACAAAGGCAGGTAGTAGGTTAATGGTGTAAATGGTTCAGCACTTAGGGAGTAAATTTAGATCCCAACATCAGAATTTATGAGGCACTATTAGGGTTTCAGAGAGGGTTGTTATCTGGTCAGGTAAAGCCAAAATTTATGAGGCACCACTCAGGTTTCAGAGTGGGTTGTTATCTGGTCAGGGAAAGCCAGGCAGGGGTGAGTTCAAGGCATGGGCAGGCATTCCAAGCAAGTTTAAAACATCAAAATATGGCCAGGCCAAATAGAAATCCTAATATTTTACAGAAAACAGAAATGAATCTTTTATAACTTTTGACAAGATGGCTCCTAATCTTACGAGGGAATTAAGCTGCAGTAGGAAATAGTAGGTCATAATACTTCCCAGAGTGTGACCTCAGGAAAGTTCACCAACTGCCTGAGCCTGTTTTCTCATCTGCAAAACAGACATAATGGCATTTACCAATCTAGCTATCATGAGATCATAGCTGAAGCACCTGGGAACTATGGCACTTGGTTAGCACACAGATGTTGGGTGGTAATACCATCACAGCTAATCAAGGGCGGGCATAATTCAGCAAAGAACACTGGGCAAACTTGGTTTTGAATTTTACCTCTTCCCTTAATAAGCTTTGTGTCATTGACAGCATGGGGAAGTAGCTCCAACCTCTTGGACTTAGAACTACAGCAAATTCCCACACAGGGAGCTAGCACAGTGCTTGAAAAACACCCAGGACCTGGCAAGGCAGCCGCTAATGGTGGGGAATGATTAGGTCTGAAGCTTGCTCTGCTGGAGGAGCTTGCACTGGGACAGAAGCAAGGGTGCCTGGCCTGTCACCTTGCTCTGCCTTTCCACAGCCAGGGGAGCATAGGCCCGGGCACCTTCCTGTTGAGAAACTGGGAATATGTTAAGGATGCCCTGAGCTGGCTCTGTTTACAAAGTCTTCACAATCGCGCCATAGTGTGCCCCTCAGCACTGCCACGCACTTCCCGTTCTGTTTTCAGTTGAGAGCTACATGTTTGAGGGGTACAATGTGATCTGATGCAGGTTCTAAAAGCATTTAATCAAGCAGAGTAGCATACCCATCCTCTCCCCTGGGTACAATTCCTTGTAGCGAGGACATCTTAAAACTACCCTTTAAGCAATTTTAAGATAAATAGTAACTGTGGTCACCATGCTGTGCAAGTGATCACTGAAACCTGTTCCTCCTCACCAAACTGTTGTCCCTTGGCCAGTGTCTGCCCTGCCCCACCAGGCTCCAGCAGCCACTACCCAGCTCATGATCACTGGCTGGTTCAGATTCCTCGTGAGATCA